AAAACAATGGTCTTTTTATTGTTGCTTGTTCAGTGGGAGTGGTATTTATCATAATTCTTATACAAACTTGTGTGGTTCTCCATGTGAACCTAGTAACAAGCACTCTTAAAGGGGTCATATGATGCTGCTAAAAATAACATTATTTTGTGTATTTGGTGTAATGAAATGTTTATGTGGTTTAAGGTTCAAAAAACATTATTTTCCACATACTGTACATTATTGTTTCTCCTCTATGCCCCGCCTTTCTGAAACGCTTTGATTTTTACGAAGCTCATCGGTGCTCTGATTGGCCAGCTATCCAGTGCGTTGTGATTGGCCGAATTCCTCAAGCGTGTGACGGAAATGTTACATCCCTTACCATATTGTGATGCCTGCGTCAACCACATGTGGCGACCCCGGGCTGGACTCCGCTTCGTCCACGTTGAAAGCTGATCTGGCGATCCACAGCGCGAAGTTGATGTATTTCCTCCGCGACCAGCACGGATCAGCTCTAGGCGTGACGAAGCGGATATCGTCCTCTTTTGGAAGGCCAAACAAAGTAGTTTCGCTTTCACAACAAAACACACAGCGCCTTCATGACATGGCAGCGGCGGCAACAACAATACTACAGCGAGAATAAAAGTTACGCCTTCTTTCTTTGCGTGAACATTTGGGCGGCGTTATGCAAATCTTCCCACATCGTGACGTAGACATGTGGGGGCGTGTTAGAATGAGCCGTTTTAGGTAGGCGTGGTTGACTCTTAACTTTTATAAAGAATATCTCTTTGGATTTGAGACTTTAGTCTTTGTAACTTTACAGATCTTCTTTATGCACCAAGAGCTTGTAACACTCCAAAGAGAAAGGAAAAATTGAAATCGCATCATATGACCCCTTTAAACATACTCTTTTTAGATTCTAATTAGTGTTGCCGCTTTTATTTACAGAGACAGGAAATAACAAGAAGGTGGTGGGAGGTGTGACCTGATCCGCACTCAAACTTGGGTCACCGCACTGTTCAACATGTTAGAGCATGCACACTAGTCACCAGGCCACATCTGATCAGTCAGTTTCAGGTGTCTTAGCTTAAATAATGTCTTGTTTTATTCTTGCAATTAGCAAGAGGTCAGCTCTCACACCCTTAGATCATGTGTGGATATGGTGATGGTTAAATTAACATTTGGATGCATGTGCCATGTGTTGTTAGTAGCTGCATATGTTCTTGACCCCTCTCCACAGATGGTCTGGAATCTTCCGGACCCACCATTTTGTCTTCAGGTTTTCCTGTGTACATTGTTAATGTGGCTGGAATGCTTTCTAATGCATTGGTTCATCCCATGCTGGACAGCTGAAAATAGATCCGTAGATATCCCTAGCCTCTCTGACAAAGTAGGCATCTGATTTGTCTGATTGTGGAAAAGCCTTTGCTCTTAATCCAAAATCAAATCGAACACGCAATTTACATGGATTAAATTTGGTTATCACATTCAGTTTTGTTTGCTCTGGTTTACTTACTGTTGCAAATGCTTCCATAATCCAGATGACTTTAGCTGTAGGCCTAACATTGTAAAGTGGAGTTCTGGTTTGGAATGATTTTCCATGAAAAATAAAGGGTTTCTGCAAAGGTCAGGTTGCAAAATTCAGCTCCAGATCCAGTTTAGGTGAAAAGATTTTGCCAGAAGACCTGATTAAGCAACTTGTGGTCTCTGGTGTTTTCTTTCTCTCTCTTTCTGACTCCCTCTCTCTCTCTTTCTCCCGGAAGTCTCCAGGCAATAGAGGGACAGAGAGAGAGTTCATCCCTTTTGGAGGATTTAGAGGGCTCCCTTGTCTTTCACTTCATCAGGGACAATTGAGTCATTCATTCTCATTGTAGCTGTGCTGAGGCAAGGCAGGAGAAGGCGAGGCAAGGCTTGAGGGTTTGCTGAAGGGTGGGGGAGGCGAAGGGGAGTCCCTGCTGTTGGGGCCCCAGGGCAGAGTAAGCACTCTGGGTTAGTCTGAAGGCCGAGGGGGAGGGTACTGAGTTCTCCAGAGCAATTTGTAACATCAGAATAGCACTTGAGTTACGTGGAAGGGGGCCTCCTAGCTGGAGAGTTTTTAGTAGGCAGAGAAGAGGCAGGGGGAGGTCAGAGGTCATGGCCTTCTCAAACCCAAGTGGTGCGTCCGTCAGCAGGCCAGGGGTGGTGTAGGGGGTTGGGCTGTGAGGGAACACTGCTGGGACTTTGGCACTGGTCTAGGCTCAGCTTTCCTTGGCATGCTTGTAAAACCTGCAGGAGGGATTAGACCAAGGGAAAGGTCTGAAGTGGATACGCCTGTCAGAGTACGTGTACTAAGCTTTCAGCACCCACACTGGCAAGGTGTCACCTTTCACCCCATCCAAACTAAACTTCACAGCGCTGGAGTACAGGACATTACCTGGTCCTACATACCAAGATATTACCTAGTCCTACATGCGCACACATTTCAAACTAAAACTTATTTATGATTATTATGTGTTATTTTTGCATTAAACTTGAGCAGATTCTTAAAAATTTGGCATTCCTGTCCACCTGTCAACAATACGCTTCAATATCCCAGCAACCAGTTTGACTATTTGGAGGTGGGTATGATCAAGTTGAGGCCAAGGTAGGAGTCCAAAAGTTCCTCCAGACTGGATCACAGGAATGCATCCTGCTGTGAATCCACCTCTAATCAGCTCTGATTAGTCCTATTCTTGAAGACACATGAACAGCCTTACAACTACAGCCTCATTTCATGGGTATTTGCTTAAATAGTGAGCCACAGAACCAGGCATTTTTTCTTCACTCTTTTTCTGTCTTTGGCAAAGTGGAGCTTGGAATGTCCTCATAAGAAGAGTAAAATCTCAAAGGAGGCCTGACAAGGTCAAACAAACTCCACCGATAGGCTGTAAGAAGGGAAGGCATGAAGCTGTTTGATTGGATAGAGCTGGACAGAGAGTAGGAGCTGTAAGGTTGACCCTGATTGGCTGGATCTGGTCAGACATGGGAATGGATTTGATTCTGATTTGTGGCTCACTTGGGCCAAGTTTTTTCAGTTGATTTGGAGACCAGTGGTTGATGTCCTGGCAGCATAGGAGGCCAAGTTACAAGGCCGACCGACTCATCAGAAGTTTCCTTTTGGGATCTGATGATGTATAGCACAGCATGCATTAGGCCTAAAAAGAGCACAATTTTTTTATGTAGAGTGTACTCTAAATTAATTTTTCATGTTATGGACCCAAGACTGCATCCAAAATTGCGCCAAGGTTAAGAAATGTTATGGACCCCAGCTGCTGTGTCTACCCCACCTTTCTTTCTGTCTTTTTTTACTTCTGTCCACCATTCCTCCGTCCTTCTGTCCTTCCTTCATTTCTTTGTTTCTTTCCTTCTCTTTTCCATTCAACTTAAATGCTTCCTTAAATATTTTGACATCAGCCAAGCCCACATGCAAATCCACTCAACTCTCCTATTTAGTAACATAGATGGTTTGAATTCTTATTTGAATTTATTTTGTCATTGAACAGAGCAGCGGTTTCCAATGGTCACTTTTTTACCTCAGTGTTTGTTGCTCTTCAGGTTTCCCATAATAACAGCAATCAGGGCCCAGTTAACCCCTGACCTGTGTAATTCAGCTAATACAACAGCCACACTTCAAGTGTTAGGAATGTGTGGACCCTCACACTTTTCCTGATGAGACACCCATGTCTCAGATAGGGATGGGTACCGAAATCCGAAAATTACACTTTGAGCTTCGGGCGCATGTCCAATCGATCAAATACGCACAAAAATATGTCAAAATTGCCGGCTTGGAGAGTATTTACTTAAACAAAGTTTATGTCTTAAGTGGAGGAGAACAGTTGAGAGAAAATCTGATGTGTGTCAATATATTGTCTTAAAGTATCAGTAAGAGTAGTAATACCGTTAAAACCTTAACGATACCCATCCCTAGTCTCAGATAGCCGAGTCTAAGTCACGTTCATGATCAGCCGGTTGTCTCTTAAGCCTCTACGGAAACAGGTTTAAAGTTCAGGGGTCAAGTTCACTTGCTGTGGGCTAATGGACTAAGGACATTAGGCACACCAGTTTTGGAACAGTAACAGCAGGTTTGTAATGGGCCCAGCATGTGATCTCTAAATGAGAGGTCACTCAGGCACACAGGGTACATGTAAAGGGGTGGTCTGCTAAGCAGATCCTGCAGTCCATGGGTGAGAACAGACATATGACCTCAGAACATGTGTCCATCAGGGTTCAGGGCTTGGAGTTAGAATGGAGATATTATAGGCAGAAGAAAGATGGAATGACATACTGACTTCATGTCAACTGAATAGGAAACTCAGACTTTCCCCTTTGAATGCAACATATTTTGGGCATATGCCTATTACAAAACATATGTTCAAAATCTGTTTTCATATATATATTGAGCTTTCAAAAAATTATTTGATTTTACAGATTAAATTAAGAGTTTGAATATATCATGGAGCTCTTCATGGTGATTATGGTGATTATTTTCATCTGTTGGCTGTAAGAGCGATGTAAGGGTTCATGAAAGGGCTGTTTGCCTGTGTACACCTCTGATTAAGTCCAGGTCAATCATTCACGAGGACAGTCACTGCAGTGACTCAGTGCCACACCCTTATTATGTGTACAAGGAAAAATGCACACAAAGTCCACCTGAAATTCCAGAGGCCAATAAAACATTTGTGCATGATTAATACAGGAAGAAGAATCAACATATTCACCTGAATGCATTTGAGTGTGTGGTTCAAAATGTGCTGTTTTTGTGAACGACAAGCATAAAGTGTAAATTAATCTTAACACCAGTAGTTTCAGTTTTCAAGAAGCTCCACCTCATGCATCATTCGACCTTGGATCTTTTTGACATGATTTATTTTTGTTTACTTTTGCTTTCTATGTCACACATTTTTTTTGTTGATATTTTAGCTCTTATGTTATGTTTCCCTTTGTTTTCTGCATTGTTAACATGTTTTTCTTTTGTTTTTCTCCATTTTTTTCTTTCTGCCATCCAGTATCTACAGATGAAATGGCCCCTGCTAGATGTTCATGCAGGAAGTCTTCAGAGTAGACAAGCACTTAAAGATGCCAGGTCACCTTCTCCAGCACACATCGTTGTAAGTAACACCCATGAGTCATTGCATTTACAAAGCTCTTTGTTCTACAGCACAGTCCATGAAAACCAAACTACCTCTGGTATTGTTGGGTTCTTTGGGATCTTACACTCCTCTCCTAATCCACAGCTGTCAATTGGTCTAGTGATCTATAAAAACTGTAGACCAGGGATGCGTTTCCCAAAAGCATCGTAAGCTTAAGTTAATCGTAGCTCCATTGGTTTCAATGGGTCTACGATGTACTTAAGCTTACGTTGCTTTTGGGAAACGCAGCCCAGATTGTGTTGTTAATTCGCTTGTCTGTAATATGGCTTCTTCATGAAAACAAGAGGGTGATATTTCAGTGTAGCTCAACAGTTTTTTCCCTTTGAATGGCGCAAAGTGGCAGAGGGCAAGACCGTCTTTTTACAGTGGAGACGGATAATTAACGCCCATGCTAAGCTTGGTTCAGGCAATGAGTGTCTGGAGTAGAGATGCCATGTTTATTTTGCAGTTTTATATGCTGGATCAGTGAGTGCTGTTATCCATGTGTTTAACTCTAAATTTATCACTCTTTTAAAATCTATAGACGATAAGGCCTTCAAGTTTAGACACATGGCTGGGCGAAAATAATGTTACCATGTTAAATCATCAGGTTATTGATTCCTTTCCTTGGACAATAGACCAACTTTGATTTTGGTCTTTCCATTGTGGTGCAGGAGTTTGGGGGCTTCATTGCGTTTCCATAGTTACTGGAAGCAACAGAGTGCCTCTAAGGTCATGTTTAGGAATATAAGACAATAATCCATTGAATCCAGGATAATATTTTGTCAGAGAGATGAACACATTTTGAACATACAGGACTGAATTTTATTAGTTATTGTTTGGTTGTTTACCATGTTATTGTGGTATAATGAGATTAAACATTCTCAGTTACCTTTAAAGAGTGTGCATGGAATTAATATTGTTATTTGTTTTGTTTAGTTTTTTTAATATGTGCCTGTTGTTTTTTGAGACCATGTATGTAAGATTATACTCCTAAAAGTCAAAATCATGGTTGGCTTTGACATTGACTGAAAACTATTTGCTATTTAATATTTTGTATTTGTATTTTGGGTCACACTTTATTTTAAGGTCCAATTCTTACTATTAACAAACAATTAACTGTGACTTTTGCCTCAATATAAACTATTAATTTGCTGCTTATTAATAGTAAGGTAGTTGTTAAGTGTAGGATTAGGCATGTAGAATATGGACATGCAGAATATGTGCTTTATAAGTACTAATAAACAGCCTATATGTTATTAATAGGCATGCTAATAAGCAACTAGTTAACTAGTGAGAATTGGTCCCTATACTAAAGTGTTACCATATTTTTATGTTTTTTTTTCCCACTTGCTGTCTAATTTAGATAGACTACCATTGAAAAGTTTGAGGTTGGTAATATTTTTAAAGGTTTTGAAAGAATCCTCATATTCTCACTAAGACTACATTTATTTGATCAAAAATACAGTAAATACTACCTGATGAATGAAGTGGCAACTCTACAGCTGCGTCTGCTGAACTGGTAGTAAACCATTTTTACATTTAAAAGTAGGGTAGCCATCCCATGTGCTTTTTTTTAAGAGAAAGATAAAAATGATTGTCCTCCCTCTCTGAATCATTAAATGAGTGGGAGGTAGTTAAGAACAGGCTCAGGTAAATACTGCACTTGAGTTTTATCCCTCTGACTCATGAGGCTGTAAATGCTTATCAGCACAGAGCAGTTTTCTCTATTGCCTTTTAAAACAGACCTAAAGACCTACAGCAAGAGAGTAAGATGAATATTTTGCTCTGCATGGTGTTTAGCTATTTAGCATTTAAGGTCGTTTATTTATTTAGTTCATTTATACAATTCGTATCTGTTTGATCAAGACCTAACATGGTACTTTGCATTATTTCTTCATCCTTCCGTCTTTCTGTCTCTCTTGCTCTCCCATTCTACTCTTGTGCTGACGTGTGTTTGATTTGATGTTTCTTTGGTTTGCATCATGCCGTTGGTGAATCCATCTGGAGATTGTCGGGGATAGATAACTGTGGAATGGCCTGAGCTCTATATTTATTTATTTATTTTTGACTCAAGTTGGCCTATATGCTGCCGTACGTGAAGGCCTTATCGATAAATTGTACCGTAAACAGTAGTTACTCTTCTCTGTCGAATTGGAAGAACACCTGCCCACCTTGACCCATGGCTCTGAAGACGCCTGTCTGCCGTGGGCTGATAAGAGAGCGCCGATGGGCGTGAGATAAGGAATGTAAGCCGAAGTTCAAGTGACCCAACAATCACCAATGAGAGAGATACAAATGCACAGGTGGACAGCGGGAGAGAGGAGGTGAGACCGTAAAAGGGCAGCATGGCAATGAAGTGAGACCGATGCAGGAGACACAGAGAGAGAGACAACAAACAAGTCTAAAAAGTGTATATACAGCTAAAAGGGAATGAAGTAGAACACATGAGGCTGATGCTTGACATTAGTTGCCTTCACACAGCAGCAGAATATTTGTTATCAGTCCTATTTTAGAGGGCTGTATATGGTTATTTTCATACACGGCTCTGTTATAAATTGCGTTTTATAACCTAAGTGACTCTTTAAAATTGTTATGGCTATCACAAGAATAGAAAAAAAGCTTGACAGTATTTATTCATATGGAAAGTATTCAAGCCGCTCCTGTGTATGGATGCCTGTTTTCTTTAAAATATTAATTTAAAAAAATATTAAATGTATTATATTACATATTGCTCTAAATTAAAAGTTGTTTAAAAAAATCACATAATGAAAAATAAATCAGTTGTGGGATAAAAAGTTTTTAGGTGGAATCCAACCACTAGTTAGTAAATATGTTGTCAGTCATAAGCACTAAATGTGTGACCGTAGTCATAGGAACACTCCACACGATCTTGTGGCCATAGGGGTGCTACTCCATGCTGCTCTATGAATAGGGCACAGGAAGTGACCCTCTCATTTCTGTCCACGCCCATAGAAGGCAGTGCCAGGATGTTTAAAGTACTCAAGAGCCCCGCAGTCTTTTCAAAGCCCGTTAGTCCCACACAGTCAGCATGCATTTACTACCTGTTCACAAGTCATAAAGAACACATCACTGCAAAAGCCATTTGTCCCACTGCCATCTCCACTAACTTTTAATGTGATTTGTAAAGCCCTTTCTTTATATAGACTGTAATATAGAAATGACAATTCAGACAGGTAGACTGCAAAACACATGTGCTGTGTATTTGGCATCGGACAGAGCGTGAACTCAAGGACGGTATGAGCAGGGATCATGCGATTGCAATTCCAATGGGAAGGAGTTGGAAACAACGGAACGATAGATTTCCCCACATCTGTGACACATTGGCCATTCGTTCCGGGATCAGTTTCCTGTTCTCGTTCCCTTTCTCGACTTGTATGCGCAGCTGTCCATCAGTGTTTCCCTATGTAGTGTTTCTTGGTGTAGGCCATATACTAGAGTGGTATAGCCAAATGTTTAACTCACAGCGTAAAGTCTGATCATTTGCAGCTTTTTATTGTGGTCAAGAACTGTCTACTTACACAGGAAATGACAATTTGATTGATATGTTGTAGTTGAATTTTTTACCATAATTTTAGCTTTTTCCTAAATTAATAAGTGCTGATTTATTCACAGAGAGAAAACTAAGTGGCAAATAAATAAAATAATAATAAAATAATAATTATTTTCCCATACTCATCGTACTAGTTGACTTGAGTCTGCACTCTGTGGTAACCATACCCAGGTTAAAGCTAGTGCGGTCATTTTGCGGGTCTGGTGACGTGCTAAATTGATAGTGAATACTGCATATGTGTGTTGCAAATTATTTTATCCAACTCATTTTATAAAAAAATTAATAAATAAATCATTGAAATAAAATTGCTGCAAAAGGATACACTCACACACACAACCTCATGCAGGCGCACTACACACTGTCTAATACACACTCTCACACACACACATTGTCCTCTTGCTCCGAGTCTTGTTGAGACTGGACAATGTCTCCATTGTTTTCTGGGCTTTCACAGGCAGCAGGGGACGGCTGGAGTGTTAACTATTTCCCCACGAGGCCCCACAGCAATGTGCATATGCGTGCAAGTGAACCAACTGCAGGAAAACGCTGGAACAGTGAGAACGTAGGGAAAGGAGGAAGAATAGAAGGGGTGGAGCTTGGAAGAATAGCTGGAGGAGTCCTGGTCTGTTCCTGTATGTTAATTGGTATTTAGGAAGTGATGGAATGTGTTCCGTTTTGACAGAGCGGGACCTCCCACCTGAACTGCTATACGATGAGGGCATGATTGCTGTTTGCTGTCACAAGACGAGTCTGTCTGGTAGCTGGAGTTCAAACAAAGTCGAGTATTGATATTAATGTTAAAAATAAAGAGTAAACTAAATGAATCACACAGATAAAGCATGCAGGGCATTTTCCCAGACTCCAGCTGAGTAGGAGTAGCGTCTCAAGCTAGCACGGGGCCTGTAGTTTTTGCTGGGTAATTTGCTGCCTTTTTTTCGGACTGAATGGTGGTGCACCTGGACTGGCTTGACAATGGCTGGGAGGGCCAGAGGCATGCTGGGAAACCCAGCCCCCTCGCTGTTAATGAGGACCCCAGAGTCGCAGCCACAAGACACTGAACCAACTGTCTTTTTGTTCTCCCCTTCCCTTTCTACTAACTGTTTCTCACTTTTCTCGCTCCCTCATTCTCCATAGGGCCTCCGCCTTTTCCTTCCCGTCTTTTTTGGTGCTGTTTGGTGCATAGTGATGTAACCATGGCCTGTTGTATGTAACTGTAACCGGAGTTGTGCCGCTTCTGACAGGACCATGTGAAACAAGGAGATGTCACTTGTCCTGAGACCTTTGGCTAAAGCTTGGAGAACATCTCAGCGTGTGCTCTTGTGTAGTGCATGAGAGGCCTCCCTGGAGCATTTCCTTAACCAAACTCAAGGAATGTCAACAAACTCTTTTACGAGGGACCTGGTGT